TGAGCGCAGACACACAATCCCAGTGATGTCATATGTCTAAATCTCTGTGACTAACAAGCAGAAAGCTCAAATAATGTCACAACCTACAGCACATCCTCTGGGAGCCATAACATGCAGTGGCAGATGGACAGTACAGGGCATATTCCTAAGTGACATGTAGGCACAAAAGCACGCAAGGAGACGTGCACACTAGCGTATGCACACACACACACACACACACACACACAGATATACTGCCAAGGAAATTATTTCATTCGTCATACAATCCCCAATTCTAATTTCATTTCCCTTCTCTTCCTCTTTCCCCTCTCAAGTTTCAGTCTCTCTCACCCTCTTCCCTCAGGTTTAATTGACTATTGTGGCAGATGGGGTGGCGGTTGGTCTGTGGGAGTCAATGTCTTCATTGTAGGACTGAGAGAGAGATTAGCAGCTAGTTAGCAATAGTGAGAGATGACAGCTGGCACAGTTAACCTCCCCTGTCACTCACACACACACACACACACACACACACACAAAGTACTGGTGTACAGTTAACCCTTAGCTCACCCGAGCAATTACACACACACAAAAACACTGCTCTGTACCTTAAGCCTGTCACTCAAACACTGAAAAAATGAGGCCTAGTATGTTAATCATGCACACACACTCTGGGATAATCCATTTCTGGCTTAGCTTGACATTTAAAAGGAAGAAGGCGAAAATGCAGTATATCCAAAGTCAGCCAAAACTGAGGACTCACTGAGGGCACATCTCCACACTGTTCTATAAAGAGTGGTGTGTAAAATTGGTTTTATATTCCAGGCTTGAATATGTCTCAACCTATGATTTAAAAACAACTCCCAACAAAAATAAAAGTAACACGACAGCTCATTAGCATTTGCAAGAAAGCCAGGACACGAAAGCATTGCCACTGATGCAGAGCAAACATGTGATATGACCCAAAAAGTGACTACAACAGCTGCTGACAATGGCTCCAGTTTCATTAAGGCATCTGAAGTGCGTCACGCTGATTTGGCTGCAGTTGTTTATTTTACATTTTGTTACAAGTGCAATTCCAAAACACACACACACACACACACACACTTAAGCTATAATGCTGTTACACTAACCAAACACAACAAATAAGTTAGAAAGACTTTGACACTGTCGTAGACCATAATGATTTATCATGAACGATTCTCTTCACATCTATTTGTATTTCACCAAACCTCAATAACTCCCTTGAACACATTTGAACAAAGAAAGCCAAACTAATGAAGATATTAACAAAATCGCAATATGGAATTTGTGCAACATACTGTAATGAATGAAACACTGTGGTACTACAGAGAGGTACTGGACTACAAATCATAATCTAAAAGGAAGGGAATATGCTTTTGGTACAGACCCCAGCAAAAATTACATCCTCATTATCTTTTTCTTTTTTTACATGAAAATGAAATGCAAAAATTACCATTGCCACTTGCATCTCATAGTGGGATCGCAACACCTGTCAAAAATAATTGCAATATAATTTTTTTTTGCTGCATATTGTGCAGCCCTAATGACACACCAAGCTGACAATCAGCCGTCGGTCAATGGGCCATTGGTGAGCTTCTGTTGCCCTAGTTCTGGCAGTGTGTCCCGCATCGTTGGTATGAGTGTGTTGAATTGTCAGAGACAGCAGAGCCCGTTGGTGAATGAAATCACTGACTGGCAGTTAAACTCAGTGCATGAGAAGAGAAATGGAAATGAGGAAAGCAAACAAAGGCGTAAGTCAAGAGAGCATTTTTATGTCAGATACGATTATTGAACACTTTATCAGAAACGGTTTGTAATTGTTTGTGTTAATGTTCGCTAGCGCATGATAATTATTTTATTTTCTTTCAACATTAAGTTGTGTTGTTAAGGTGCTAACTGCCTAGCTAGCATCTGAAATCTGTCCTGCTGGTCTTCCAATAACCCTTTCAGAATGATGGATACAGACTACTGCTGCCTACAAGTATGAAGAGTTATTTCCTCTCACACAGGCGTGCATATAAACACGCCGCAAAGATTACACCCAACGTCCAACTAGCATGTACGTGACATGCTAGTTGGATGTTGGCTGTAAACACGCCGCAAAGATTACACCCAACGTCCAACTAGCATGTACGTGACATGCTAGTTGGATGTTGGCTGTAATCTTTGCGGCGTGTTTATATGCATCATTTTAGCCCAGACACAGGCAACGTGATGCAACGCAAGAATCAACCTTTGTCACCGCCGGTTCTTTGATGATGGTCTGATCCCTATTTCCCAATGACAATGCCTGTCATATGTTAATTCAACAGGAATGTTAGCTTTCCGTCAAAAGGTAAAAACCACAAAAGCCAGCTGTGCCTTAGTGGCTTACAGCATACGCCACATTACAGCAACATCCTGGGTTCGACTCCAGCCTTGGGACCTTTATTGCCAAAGAAATAATCTTCCAAAACAAAAAGTTAAATCAGACATTAATCATTAAATCTGAAAAAAATACAATAATCTAGTAGTGGTTGTCTATTCATTAAAGTATTAAGTGAAACAAGACGTGGATTTCTTGTTTTATCAATGTAATTACGAGCATTGTTACGGGTTCACTTACACACGCTCATACCGTCACATAAGCCCATGCACATACATTACATGCATAGATCTGAACACACACACACACACACACACACACACACACACACACAGACATTATTATGCAGCTTCTGTTCCATGAGAGATATTATTTTATCTCCTCCAGGGCTCCCACCAGGACTACACTGGCTGGTCAAAGCAGACCAGAGCAGGAAAACTAACAGGGCTCATGTTGCTACTCCACCATCTTCAGAAAGCTGTCTCTTCCATGACTGGAGGGACTGAGGGTGTCAGTTACTTGGCTCCATCTTCATCTGGGTCAAATCAAGTTCAACAACAGATGCTTGTTACAATCCCTGACACAGCGTGTTTTGACATGACACTGGGGAATTGACTTGATTTGAACATTTGCATGGTCCTTAATGCGCTGAGCGAATCCTATGACTCAATGAGTGTCATCACCCATTCAAAACACAAAGCAAATTCCAAATGCATGGCTGTCACTCTGAAATAAAGCTGTTCTTCTTAAATCCTCTCAGGGAAAAAAAGGAACTTCAGACAGCAGTGATCCTGACATCCTGTCTCTAGAGCTGCATATTTTGACATAAGAAAATGTTAGGAATCCCTTTCTGTGATTAAATATTTAGAGACAGTATTTTGGCTTGATCTTTTGGCTGACATTCATCTGGGTATGACATGGGAAAATATTAACTAGACATCCACCGAAAATAAAAATCCCCTAAGATTAAACATGCAGCATTGCTCAGCCAACATTAGCCTTGTCCAAATTCATCTGCTTTTCAACGGGGGTAATTTAATATGCCAACTATGAACAGCTGGAGGCGGATTTAATTCAACTCACTGTATTTCTTATCCTTCCCTGTTCTCCAAGGTACAAACCACAGTTTACACACAGTAGCCAAAACATGGGTGAAACTAAGCCAATCGGCATGTATAGTGGGTCTGCCAGACATCTGGATGGATGAAGACACAAAATAACATAACAGTCTGGAGACTAAACAAACTCAACCCGACTTTTCCACTAAAACAAGCTGGGCCTTGTCGACAACGATTTTGTCTTTTGTTTTTATTGTTTGCTTGGAATAAACGCTCCTCTTTTATCGTTTATAAATTACTAGGTATACCGACGGTAGTTTGGCGCTGTACGACTTACACACCCAAACATGTTCAAATCCCAAACACAGTGCCATACACAGCCTTTGTTACCAACACATACAGGCTGCAAACAGGTAATTACGGTCTAGTTATTGAGCAACACCTTGCTCTGCCCTCTATCTCCCTCTCTGGAGAGTAACAAAAGAGTAGGAAAGAGAGGTAACATAATATACATGGATAGTGTGTGTGTGTGTCTACTACTACACTCAGACACTGTGTAACGCAGCACCCTTTCCCCCTATTTTGCTTAAAGCTAATGCCCTCAAACAAAAAACATCTCTGGAAGTATCGCTCACATAACCACCTAGTTACTTTCTGTATAAGAATTTCTCCTCTTACAACCATTAGATTGCACCTTTTGTCTGTCAGCTTCTGTTTACATACATGAAAGGTCATGAGTGCCCGAGTGACTACATGTACATTTATCTATGTCTACCTGGGATGGTAACATGTAGTGTGAGGCTGGAGCCATAACATGAGGAGCGTAGACAGACTATCACCTTGTCTCAAATGTTGTGTTGCTCCTGTTAACTCTTTGATATTCTGCGCCTGTGTGAAAGCCACCTTACTCCAAAGTGTGGCTCCATGTATCCAATTTGTTCAAATATATGCTGAAGATCATGCGTTACAGGGCAATGTTTTTAAAAAGCTACCTGTTTCTCTTAATGTAGAACAAGGCCTCACCACTGTTTCTGTACAAACCATCTCTGTGCGCTCTTGACGATAAAGGAAGTTGGTGATTTGCTGGTTCACGTGTTATGTTTGCAAATGATGGAAAAAAAATCTCAGTCTATGAACTGACTATAATCATTAACAAAGAGCTCAAACTACAATATTGCTTTGATTAAGTACATAAAATCAAAAAGTCTCCTAAGGCGAATTAATTTAGGCTTTACTATTGAGAGTGCAACATCTGCAGCCAACATTTGTTGTGACGTTTGTTCAGTAATTCTCTTTTACAAATATAATCATAAATCAGCCACCATGACCTCTTGGAAGTGTTTTTTCCTTTAGGTGGTGCGTGACACTACAATGTGAAACTGCGGACTGCCGCTTTGTAGTTGTTTACAGTTTCTGCACCTTGTCACCAAAACAACATCATGTACATTTACTGTAAGTGGTGACTTATTGTTTGATTATTATGTTACACATCCAATTTCCCCATGAGCAGTGATACACACACACACACACACACACACACAGCGTACATCACCTAAATGACACACAAAACAACTTACCTCCATGGCTAGTGCAGCCGTTTGCTGGTCATAGTGATTCAGTAGATTGGGCATAAAGGTGGTGTTGTAAGGCAGATCCTGGCACATTCTCAGTCTGATGGGCTCACAGCTGAACTCGCTGTGGCTCTCTATGGACTCCATATGAATGGACAGAGTGGGTGTAACCAGGGAGAAGAGGAGCAGGAAGATAGGGATGAGGGGGAAAGAGAGACACACAAGAACCTGTTGTCTGTGGTAACATGTTGTAGTTTTTAAAATCCAGTTTTTCATATATCCTCTTCCAACAGGTGCTTGCATCTCAATGTTCGACATCTCTCCACAGTGGCTCAGACTGATGACTTTAGCATCACCCATACCTCCACTAGACAGCCCTGAAGACATGCAAGAATTGTTTTTAAAACTTCTTGACTTCAGAAGCGATTGAGTCCATTTTTAGTGTCAGTGGTGGAGGTAAAAGTAAGAAATCCACAAGGCGGGTACACTCTGTATACCCTGAGCTGCACATGTGGTGGAGCCCCAACTGTGGGCCATGGATGAAGCTGTTCTTTGTGTCAGCCTTCAAACTCACCAGCCATTGTAGTGTATGCTTTTCTTGCAGTATCTCAGAATGTGCTTTTAAACGCTGACTTGTCCTCATTTAAAAAAGACATCATATGGTTTCTCTCCACCGCCTGGTAAGCCCCTGGTCAAAGACAGACTCCCCTTGTTCCATCCCTCAAAATGAAAGCATGTCGCCAAGATAATAGATCCACAATAGATCTCCTCCGAGTTGCCGTAGGTCTCTTTATTGTCACCTCTCACTCCATTTCCAGCGATGTTTCACAGACACATGTGAAGATGAGTCCCCAACATGTCAGTATCGTCCAAATGATTTCACAGATTCCCCTGGAAGACACAAATCCTGTCTTTCACATTCAGCTCCCACTGTGGAGTGGATCCATGGAGCAGGTTCTGCAGGTTTAAACACACAAGGAATAAAGACCTAATGGTCAAACAAGCAGAGTGGGCTTGAAAATTTGCATGGTATCTGATATTGTCTCTGATCAGCCACACCCTTGTCTCTATACAAGTCAGGATTAAATATCTGATCTAATCTACAACAGCACATTAAGGGGTGGGGAGGCATTTCTTTAAGGATCATGACAGACTGTGAACCTCCAATGTCAAATAATCTTCGTCTGTCTGAGCGGGGTCATACATAGTTCATGCTGCAGCCCACTGAAAACATGCCCAAAGCAAACCGCAGCGCCTGATGCAGCTTTCAAGCTGTTACTGTGAACGTTACACCTGCGGATGATCAGACACTCCCCCACTCTCATGTTTGTGTGAGGTTGGCCGGGCAACAGTAGCGCTCCCCTGCGATGTTTCACACTCCGCCACTCGGTGTCTTTGTGGCTGACTACACAGTAAACTTCAAATGAATAAAAGCTTGGATAATATGATATAAAAACAGCGGAGAAAATGAGGGTGTCCACTTACTGAGTTTACACCTGCGCTACGCTGCTCCCAGTCGACCGTTAGACACGAGCTAACTTGCGTGTAACCCGAGCAACAGTCATAGCTAGCTAGCGTTAACGTTAATATTGTTAACGATAAATTGTACTAAACACAACTGTAACGTGCGGTAACCGGTACATGACACAGCCGTTAACGTAAGCGCTCTGTTAAGGAGACCCTGGCTGGTTATATAAAGCACAAACCTTTATAAATGAAGGCTTCACTGAGGCATCTTCGCGACGCTGACGGAAGAATCACACACGGTGACACGCGCACGAGAGCATATCAATCTTGGTAGCCCTGAGTGTGTGTGTGTCACCGCAGTGTCTTCAGCCCAACAGCGCGATATGTGAGCACATGAGCCCTTTAATGCATTCACAGTCTACATTCACAGTACTTCTGACTTGAATAATTAATTAAATGAGTCGCATGGTTCCTGTGTAGCGTTAAATGATCAATGCTTTACCTTGAGTGAAGAATAACGAGCGGCTTGGACACTCCTCGGCTCCACCGGCTCCGTTCACTGCAGTACTCCGCTGTTCTCTGTTTGCAGCTGGTTGCCTGCAGCGTGCAGTGAGCAGACTCATCGTGCCCGCGGATTCATCGTGACCGCGCACAGACATGACAAAATTGGCCCCACTGGACCGCACTGGACGGTGCATGCTGTTGTGGATGGCTTACATATGAGTGTCTAACAAGACCAGTGGACATAGGTGATAAATATTTGTTGGCGAGGAACAGTGTGTGACCAAAAATGAAATATGTGGGGGTCTTTTAAATGTTTGATTTCACCCTGATTAGAGGAGGTGATAAGGGGGTAATATGTGAATATTAATTATTATATCCACCTTAATTTGACATTAAAATTTTATGGGTGTGTATTAACATTTTAAAGGTCCAAGGCTAAAGATTTAGGGGGGATTTGGTGCTATCTAGTGGTGAGGATTGCAGATTGCAACCAGCTGAAACTTCTCCAAGTTGCAATTCCTGAATTGTTTATTGTTCGTGAGGTTTTTATCATGAACCAGATTATCCGAAGAGGTCTCCTCCTCTCCAAAATGAACAAACCCAATGATTTAAACTTGTAAAAAGACAGAATAGAGCAGTTCCACATGAACAAAATTCACAGCACTGTTTGACATATCAGAGTCAGGATGTTAGCCTAGCACCAACTAATCTGTGCTCATCACTTTTTGTCTGATAATTTAAGATCCAGACATTCAGGTGGTTTTTAACAGGAGCCAAATTATCCACAGAGGTCTCTACCTCAAAAAACAAACGATTCAATTGGTAAAACACTGAATAAAGCACTTTAACGTAAAAAAAAAAAAAATCTATGGTTTTTCCACTCTTGTTGCAAAGGGTCTGCTAAATACAGTGGCTGACATGTTAACACAAATGACCCTCTAGAGCCAATGAACATGCCACTTAAAAGTATAGAAGAATTTTTGGTATTTTATGGGAAACACATCACACAATTTACATATGACATAACTAAAAATTTTATTAATGTACATAAGCAACAAGCATGAAACATCATTTGTGGGCAATAAATTTGTATGCAGGAAAACGCTGACAAGTACAATTTGTTGATTGCATCTCAAATGTAATGGTTTGTCCATTCTGGGCTACTGTAGAAACATGGCGGTGGAACATGGCAGACACAGTAGATGAGGACCGGCTCCCTATGTAGATATAAAGAGCTCATTCTACACTAAAGAAAACATAATTATATTCCATTTCTGTCGATATAACCCCCTAAATCCTACACACTGGACCTTTAAGGCATTGGCGAAGCTACACACAGCCCGTGTGACCACAGTACATTTTTGTGTTTTTAAAGTTGTGCCTGTGAACTCAAAGATTCCAGAGCCTCCAAGGATTCAATCAGCATCACTCTCAAGGTCACCTGAAGGCCATTTTGGTGTTAAAAGGATACAACCCGTGACCCCGTATTAACATGACTGCGTCTGTAGCATCAGATGGGACACAAAGGGTGACGCAATTTTTTAAAAATCTGGCACTGATGTGAAGACAGAGACAACTAACTCCCTCAGTGGCTCACTGCAAGGAGGGACAGCAGTCTTCCTGTAGCAAAGATGTGAACTCAAAATAAATGGTGGACAGACACAACTAAAAGCACATAACTATCTAAAGGTAACATTATAAAAAATCTTTATTATAACGATACATGAAATGTATACACTGCTATAAAACCATAAAGCAAATAATGACATGTACAGTACATCCAAATTTGTCAAAATTTCAGGCAGATGTTACAAGATACAACACCTTTACCATGTGTTAGAGACATTACAGACAGGCTGAATCAGGGAAAAGATAAGTGATGACAATGGTTTTGTCCATATCGGGCTGTCCTGCTCAAGATATTTGAAGTGCTTTAAATTCTCATTTGGAAACAACAATGCAACCACAAAAAGGTTTGAACTATCCATTTAGCCTGATAAGTGCACTTAAAGTCTGCTTTAAATTCATTTTGTTACTGGCAATGCAAGTAATAAAAACACTCTTTCTCAAATGAGTGACTCACTAGATGGTCAGTTATTGAAATACAAATATGAAATGTGATACATTTATAAATGGACTGCACTCTACATAAACCTCAGATATGGGAGATCCATTACTTCACAGGAAACTATTTCCAAGAACCAAATGATATAATACACTCAAGTATTCCAGAAAAGCCATAGTTTCTGTAAGTGCCATCACGTCATTACAATATCACAACACACGACTCTGCTTGAATTCAGTTCATTTGTCCAGATACCACAATAAGCTTGCATCTACACTCTTATCTCATATGCATCTTGTGATTTCAAATTTTATCACTTTACAGTGACATCAACGCCACACTGCCTGAAAAGGCCAAACAGATGTGATGTGATTGTATCAGTCAGCACAATGTCAATATTTATCCCTTGAAGCCTGAGGATTAGCATTGCATGCTATGACTCCGTTCCACACAATTGAGCATGGCATTAGATTAACAGTTTCGATGCTGATCTGATCTTCTCTGTCGTTGAGCTGTAAGGGGTCTGAGGCAGCTGGCCCACATACTGGCTTAACCTCTTACTGTTACCCCACTTGATATTTAACCACAGTATACTGCACATACACGAATGCACTCAGTCCAAACATAGCTATGCTGCAATCTAGATTACCTTTAATTTAGGGCATCTTTCCTAAAACATCCTTTTATTATCCCTATGACTTTTATTTTTTATTTTAGCAGTCTGAACTTTAAATAATGAGACCTGCTGTATCTCTGGATCCACACAGAAAAGATTTAAATTTGTTATTTTAGTTTCAGTTGTCATCTTGTCACTACATATGTCTTACTAAAGGCAAAAACAACAAAAGGAGTGTATAAAAGTATTGATTATATCCTGTGGGGGTTTATCAACCCTTGACTTTTACACAGCTTTTCAAATAGTTTGTGTTGTGAAATTCAATCAGTTTTAGCCCAAGGCTGACAAATAATGATGTGGTCAGAGGAAAACTGAATATAAATGAACACAATATATAAAACTAATTGCAATGTGTTCAACTGGTCAATGGTTTACTGTTAATTTATTATGCTGATCTGTTCTGTACGACATCTATTGCACGTCTGTCCGTCCTGGAAGAGGGATCCCTCCTCAGTTGCTCTTCCTGAGGTTTCTACCGTTTTTTTTCCCCGTTAAAGGGGTTTTTTTTTGGGGAGTTTTTCCTCATCCGCTGTGAGGGTCTTAAGGACAGAGGGATGTCGTATGCTGTAAAGCCCTGTGAGGCAAATTGTGATTTGTGATATTGGGCTTTATAAATAAAATTGAATTGAATTGAATTGAATTTACCTGCGAAATTAAGCCACTGTTGAAACTAATGAACATGTCACTTACTGCACTTGTCTTTATAATAATCTAATAATACAAACTATTTTCAAGAACTGCATGTCCAATTCAAATTGAAGCCAGACACTGTATTTGCATAGTATTGAAGAATTTTTGGTATTTTAAAGCAAACACATCACACAATTTACATATGAAATGACTCCATATTACAGCTTATCAATGAACATTAGCAGCGGGCATGAAACATCATTTCTGGGCATTAAATCTGTATGTAGGCAAACACTGACAAGCACGACTTGTTGAAAGCATCTCAAATGTAACGTAGCATTTTAAAATCTGTCCAAATATTAAAAACATTAAGAATGATAAAAGGTTTTGCTGAAAATGAAAAAGCTAAAAATACACCTTCATTTGGATAAAAATAATCTAAAAAAGTTCTGCTAGATATAAAAATGTAGTTTCTTCATAAACAGGAGGTTCCATCATACTGAAAGACACGCCACGTTTTGGTACAATCCAAACGGTCATGGATGGATACTGATAAGACCACATTATACCTAAGATTAGCGTTCACACACGTATATATATGCATTTAATCCTATAATCTGCACGAAAGGATCTGCACTTTGAAATGCACCTACTGGAACAAAAATGATGCAAGCTTCCTGATGTGTCACTTCAAATTAAATTTCCATTAATGTGTTTCATTGGGTACAGCTGCACTGACATTAAAGCTACAGTTGGGAACTTCCATGAAAATAACCTTTAGTCATATTTGTTGAGTATGTAAATACTTACACACGGTATTATAGATAGTCTGTGAAAAAATCATCGCCGCCCTCCTCCTCCTACTGCCTCTAATGACATTTGCTAGAACCTACCGAGGCTAAGTGAAAACAATTAGTCAGAGCTGAGGAGTCTCTAATGAAGCTCTCAAACACTGATTGTGATCCGGAGATCAAACTGTCAGGCAGCACTGATCAAATATAAATAAAGATTCTGTTACTGCATTGCCTATTTTTTGCCTTAATTGTTTTCAAAAACATATTTTAGTGCACTGTTTAGCTGTAAAATGAGAATGTTTGTAACGTGACACGACTGCTATGTTGGATACAGTAGAGCCAATATAAAAAATGCCCACCAGCCAGAGCAAACTGTCTCATTTTACAGCTATCTTTATTCATATTTGTTCAGCGCTGCCTTGTCTGACAGTTTGACGACAGTTGCATTAGAGACTCCTCAGCTCTGATTGGTTGTTTTCCTTCACCTGTGGTAATGCCATTAGAAGCAATATGAGGGAGCAGAGACCCTTAATTTTGTTCCACAGACTATCTGTCGGACGTACTGCTGTCAGGATACAATGACAGTTTCAGCAAATATGACAAAAAAGGTTTTTTTTTAATAAGTTAGCAACTACAGCTTTAATCCAACTGTATTCTGATCACAACTTCACACACAAGATTATCTATTTAGTTTCGGATAAAAACAAAGAGCCATTAGGTAGCTCATCTTTGAGTCAGGGTATGGGGCTGTACATTCCCGTTTAGCCAGAACCAGAATCTTAAAACTGGTTTCGCTCCTGTTCCACGGTGACACTCACCTAGCTGACTGTAGGGCAAAATCTACTGGTCTCAGTACAGGTGCAGGGATTTGGCTGTGCTTGTCTACATGGAGTGGCGTCCTTTCTGTTTTCTGTTCAGTTAGGCGTCAGGGTTCACGTGCTGTCCAATCAGGCGTTGGCTGTGGGGAGTGAACTCAGCCTCCTCTTCCAGCTGGAAAAGATAAAGGAACGATGAGGTCTGAGTTAAAGTGACAGTTCATCCCAAAATCAAACCTACTTATTGTTCCTCTTGCCTGTAGTGCTATTCATCATCTGCCATGGAGATGCATGCCTTTTCTCGAATATAATGGAACTAGATAACACTTGGTTTGTGATGCTCAAAGTGCCAACACAATATATTTGCAACATAAGTGTCTCTTTCCAGAAATCATGACCGGGTTACTCAAGATAATCCACAGACCTTGTTGTGAGCCAGTTTCATGTAGGAACTATTTTCTTTCTACCGAACTACACCTGCCAGCGATATCATTGCACAGAACAAAGCATGCATCTACTCATGGATGAGAGGCTTGTGCTTGTGACAGCAAGATACGCATTAATGGCGTCCTCCTCGTTAGCTAGCTCAGTGGTGCTAGATGAGCTACAAGTTAACGAGAGGGTTTGCATGTTCTTTAGATTTACAGGAACAGAGTATAACAGGACAAGTGGGAGCAGATGAGTGGGGATAAGTGTCTGTGTGTGTGCACATCTGAGTCAGACAGAGACTCAGACAGACACACACTGAAGACGCCACACCCCTCAAGCACCCCCATCCCCACCACCACAAAGACACACACACCTGCTCTTTGATGTAGCTGTTCCCAAAGGGTGCCAGGCCTCTGAGAGCCAATCCGACGATGAAGCACCAGACAGACACTCCAGCCTCAACTGCTGCCAAGAAAGCGCAAGGGATCCACATCGCCAGGGTGGTGTCCTGAGAGACAGCATGTGACAGGAACATGGAGGAAAAGGTGTGAAATAAAGTATCTCTGTGAGGTCTAAAAGTCCCCTGTGACAGTTTTAATATAATTTCAAGCCTCAAAAGTTGCAGCTTGAATAGTCAAAGAGCAAACTGGAGAGAAAGGTAAAGGTGCATAAGAATGGAGTGAGATGGAAGAAGAACATGTAGACTCACATAAATCCGTGTTGTATCAAACGGGCATCGGGCACTGACAGGTGACCGAGCGTTGATGGGCACCTCTGTGTCATTGCATCCCAGCATCAAACCCTCGCCATTGTGAGCAATAGTGACACTGATGGCAAAGAGGAGCCCGGTGCAACATGCTGCTGAGAGCAGGGCGTTCAGGAAGGACGCAATCAGAAGTCCTATTTGCTGGAGACACAGAGACAAACATCACATGAAAGTAACTACTGAGTGGACACAGAAAGAACGACTGAAGTGATTATATCATTAGTTGAAAACAAACTAAATTCTCACCAGTTTTATCACATTAAGGTTTCTTGACACCACAATGGCAATAATCCCACTGGCAATGCTCTGGAAGATTCAAGAATAGGATGATTGTTTGGAGCGGGGTTTATTAAATTATTATCCGCAAATAGTGGCTGGCCCCGAGGTGGGGCTGCATTTTTCATTTGGGTGCTGCGCTGAGAAGACTTCAGACTCAACAAAAGAAATGACTGCAAGATCACCAGTGGAAAGCAGTGTTGGGAAAATATATTCTGTATCTTGTCTTTATTGTATTACATGTAAACCATGTAATACCCTGTTTTAAGTACATGTAAGGAATACATTTCAAATAAATGTGACAGTAACACTCATCATCAGCAGCTGCCAGTTTATCTGACACCTCAGTGTAATGAAGCCTCCCCTGAAGCAACTAGTAACTGGTTTGAAAAACCAGCTCTCTTATAAAAGGCAAGCTCAGTCTTGATTCCAGAGAAAAATACACAACACTATAAAGAGCTAACAGTGCAAATCACTTTTGGTGTTTACTGCAAGTAGGTGTTACTCTGATGCACAGAAAATCACAGGGATGAATTCAACACAGTTTTTTACATAACTCATCAAATTAATGGTAAAAAAATGTTCTGATAAGGACTGCTTTGCTTTATAAAGTTCTACAAACATTAAGAGTCTTGGTGCACACTGCAGATTTGGCATTAAATCACAGGATGAATGTTTTATATTTGACTCACCAGCAGGCCAGAGGTGACGGAGATTATGTTGGCTACAGTGTACTCAGTGGTGATATGCTGACTAGGTTTGGATATGTGGCGGAGGACATTGCCATGGACAATAGCTCCAAGGATGAAGTTGATATGGCCGACGAGGATGAGAGTTAATCCTTTTTTCATCAGCCTCCTCGGCCCTTTGTCCTTATCTGGATAACAGAAATACAAAAAATACTTAGATGTTATAATTAGATACAGCCTACATAAGTAACATCTGTAACATTGCTTGAGTGAAAGTTTGTAACTGGTAGGTTAGAGGGTTTCTATAATTCTGTGCTCCTTACAACCATATTGTACACAAAGAAAAAAGTCTGCTCTCACAACACTTAATTTTTTCATTCATTCTGTTTTATAGCCTAACTGATAATGTATCTTTACGGGCCAATGATGAAATCAATAAAAGAAAATGATGAACAGATAGTGTTGTTGAATACTGAATGACTTCTTTCTGCCTTTGTTATAAAATAACTTTTAATATACAGTACAATTCCTTTACATATACAGTACAGGCCAAAAGTTTGGACACACCTTCTCATTCAATGCGTTTTCTTTATTTTCATGACTATTTACATTGTAGATTCTCACTGAAGGCATCAAAACTATGAATGAACACATGTGGAGTTATGTACTTAACAAAAAAAGGTGAAATAACTGAAAACATGTTTTATATTCTAGTTTCTTCAAAATAGCCACCCTTTGCTCTGATTACTGCTTTGCACACTCTTGGCATTCTCTCCATGAGCTTCAAGAGGTAGTCACCTGAAATGGTTTTCCAACAGTCTTGAAGGAGTTCCCAGAGGTGTTTAGCACTTGTTGGCCCCTTTGCCTTCACTCTGCGGTCCAGCTCACCCCAAACCATCTCGATTGGGTTCAGGTCCGGTGACTGTGGAGGCCAGGTCATCTGCCGCAGCACTCCATCACTCTCCTTCTTGGTCAAATAGCCCTTACACAGCCTGGAGGTGTGTTTGGGGTCATTGTCCTGTTGAAAAATAAATGATCGTCCAACTAAACGCAAACCGGATGGGATGGCATGTCGCTGCAGGATGCTGTGGTAGCCATGCTGGTTCAGTGTGCCTTCAATTTTGAATAAATCCCCAACAGTGTCACCAGCAAAACACCCCCACACCATCACACCTCCTCCTCCATGCTTCACAGTGGGAACCAGGCATGTGGAATCCATCCGTTCACCTTTTCTGCGTCTCACAAAGACACGGCGGTTGGAACCAAAGATCTCAAATTTGGACTCATCAGACCAAAGCACAGATTTCCACTGGTCTAATGTCCATTCCTTGTGTTTCTTGGCCCAAACAAATCTCTTCTGCTTGTTGCCTCTCCTTAGCAGTGGTTTCCTAGCAGCTATTTGACCATGAAGGCCTGATTGGCGCAGTCTCCTCTTAACAGTTGTTCTAGAGATGGGTCTGCTGCTAGAACTCTGTGTGGCATTCATCTGGTCTCTGATCTGAGCTGCTGTTAACTTGCGATTTCTGAGGCTGGTGACTGGGATGAACTTATCCTCAGAAGCAGAGGTGACTCTTGGTCTTCCTTTCCTGGGTCGGTCCTCATGTGTGCCAGTTTTGTTGTAGCGCTTGATGGTTTTTGCGACTCCACTTGGGGACACATTTAAAGTTTTTGCAATTTTCCAGACTGACTGACCTTCATTTCTTAAAGTAATGATGGCCACTCGTTTTTCTTTAGTTAGCTGATTGGTTCTTGCCATAATATGAATTTTAACAGTTGTCCAATAGGGCTGTCGGCTGTGTATTAACCTGACTTCTGCACAACACAACTGATGGTCCCAACCCCATTGATAAAGCAAGAAATTCCACTAATTAACCCTGATAAGGCACACCTGTGAAGTGGAAACCATTTCAGGTGACTACCTCTTGAAGCTCATGGAGAGAATGCCAAGAGTGTGCAAAGCAGTAATCAGAGCAAAGGGTGGCTATTTTGAAGAAACTAGAATATAAAACATGTTTTCAGTTATTTCACCTTTTTTTGTTAAGTACATAACTCCACATGTGTTCATTCATAGTTTTGATGCCTTCAGTGAGAATCTACAATGTAAATAGTCATGAAAATAAAGAAAACGCATTGAATGAGAAGGTGTGTCCAAACTTTTGGCCTGTACTGTACCTTTATGTGCCTTCATTCACTGCATGCACAGTATGCATAGGCTACATACTGTGCATTTTAATCACTTATATCAAAAGGCCTTTATTCTGTGTGGCAAATATACTTCATTTCATTTGTGAATGTTTAGAGTAAAATAAGAACTGAATTATGATTTGCATGTGGAAAAAGAAGTCAAATCGTAGACTATATGTTCACAAATGTAAATGCTGAAAACTATAAGCTTGCAAAAAGTGAAGAATTAATCTAGAAACGGTGTCTACAGGTATACAACAGTTACATTTAATGATATTTGAGGCTCGTTCAAGACGCCTTTTATCCAAATTTAGGACAGATTTTTGGACAAATCGTGTTTTACTTATTTAAGTGAGTAAAGCCAATCTACATTCTGCCAACAGGTATCTGCATGTATTAAGTAAAATCAAAATTAAGAAGTAAAATATTATAGTTCTTTTAAAGATTTGTAACATTAAAAATGTGGACTTCACTTATTTTCACAAAAATAAATTAAATAATTTAATTAAATTAGATAAAATGCTTGTAATGGTTAAGACCTCACAAATTCAAATATAAGACTTTTGAATGACTTTTAAGGCCTTGTTGTTGTAACATTGAATTTAAGACAGTTTAGGACTTTATAAGGACCTGTAGACACCCTGAAAAACTACACATACACGGCTGCTCATCAATAAATAGACCGTAACAGGGATATTACTACCTACAGATGCATACTCATTTGCATAGAAAGGTTTCACTCACTGTGTACTGAGTCACACAGATGTGAGGAGGAAGCAGTAAACTAAAACGTTATAATTATTGACCTTTTCTCTCGTCAGTCTCTTTGAATGTTGAGAGCTCATTTCCTCTGAGCATAAACCACAGTGATTAATGTGAAACACGCACTAACACGCTGAATACACCTATGCCAAGTTTTCAAAGTGAAACAGGCTCATCCTGCCTGCAGGCCTGCGGTCAGCTACACCCGCGGAGGGAAAACAACCGTCGGTCACACACACGCTGAGTGACGTTACTTTACCGAAAGCGATTTTTTAAATTGAAAATGTTATTAAAGTTACTCACCAAAAGTGCACATCCCGCTGCTGAGTCAGAAGTTTCCCTTTGAAATAAATGAATGAGGGTAATTTCCGAGCAACTGCTCAATAACACAGGAGCAGAAACTCCAGGGTCCCTCTGTCCACTTCCTGTATGACGTCAGGAAACTCACCTGTGAGGTACCTGTAGCTTGCTGGACGCTGAGGGGCGCAACAGCCATTCCAGATTTACTATGAGCATGTAAGGCTGCAGCTAATATGTATCTTCATTATTGATTAACCTGCCTGTGATCATCTGTTAGTTATCATCAGTTCAGTCAATCGGTTGGTTTAGCAAACATAATGACTGGAGGGCTACTTTACTGTCTTTAAGAAGCTGTAGCACTCATTTAGAATAGATTTTAAGCAACATAAGGCATCCACTGGCACCAATTATTTTGGCATAGCTTGTGGAAAGGGGGCTAAATAACCCCCCAAATGTAGGCTAAATTTTAGTGAGTGGCATGGCATGGCCCCAAAAGGGGTCCCTTAAACTCTCACCTCAAGATATCTGAATAAAATTGGGTTGTATGGGCACCCATGAGTCTCCCCTTAACATGTGAAGGCTTGTTCCAAGTAAATATTTTGTGCCTTACAGTCAATGTACTCCTTCAAATTAAAGCTGTGTATTTGTCTTTTAAAGTAAAGGTTGATGAGTCACCTAACACATGTACATACAGATGCATAACACATTAACACAGGGTTGTAGAGCTCAAAACGTTAACTGTACCGATATTAGTCTATGCACAGCAGATAAGCAGTAATATCAACTCTAAAATAAGAAACCAAAGTAGTATGCGATTTCTTAATTCATCACATTGACATGGCATTTAACAAGCCTATACTTAACAGCATGATCAAATTCCTAATATTCAGTTACTGCTTTGATTTTGGTGTGCCACCCCAAGATTTTCAGTGGCCCTGTGGCCATCCCTGTGAAAATTTTCTGGGGTCACCACTGCAGAATATAGTAAAAAAAAAAATGTACATCCCATTTTTGTTTAGTCCTCAATGGCATCCTTAAATGTCCTGTTTCGACCGTTTGTCAGTAAAATATGGTATAAAACAGAGAACAACGGGACATCATATTTGAGAGGCTGAAAACAGCCATGTGTGCATGAAACATTTTTATAAAAAACCCACTAATCGATTAGTCAAATAATCTTTGCACCTCTACAAGCATTTTTGTTGTGTCATTCTCACAAACACTGTATCAGTCACAAAACCTGAAAAACACTTAAAAATAAAAATGCCAAAAAAAAACCCAAAAACAAATAAAAAAGCAGTGACTCATTCTTTGGAACCTGTTTAAAGTAACAAAATGAAGCATTTCAGACATTTATTTGAAAGAATGACCATAGTTTGAAGAGTGGGTCAGGATACACATCCTGGAGAAGACACACACACACTGATGCTGATGTCATTTACAAAATAGAATATAAAAACATAACTAAAAGCTCACATCCTTAAGCGACAGGCTAAAGCTGCCCACCCTGTGTAATTATCTAATAACCAATTTCAACGCCACCAATAATTGTGGAATAATGGAAAAGATACAGAGAGAAAGAAAGAGAGACAGAGAGTATAAAGCTGCTCTGGTGATCACATTGGTTGGTTTTTACCACTTCTCTATCCAAGACGCGGTGCACTTACATTCTCCTAGCTGACATCTTTGGAATATACAATTTTAGCAGTTCACAAATACACATACAAACAGAGGAAAATAAAGTAAACAATGCATCAATGCATTCAGATAGTCTACACTTGCAAACAATAGAAAACAAAAAGGCACACTGGAGCACAATCGTAACCTGAATACATTTACAAATACTTAAAAATATGAGTGGACGCTCATACAGTAGCCTTTAGTTAAACTGGTACTGTGATTATAACATATGTATAATCCCAGTGGAATAATCTGAATAAAATGCCAGAAAAAATGGTTATTGTATTTAATAATATTTTAACTTTTTTTTGTGCTATATTTTTTGTGGTCTTACTGCCTGTTTAAAGATATACTGTGCAGGATTTCCCTAAAAAAAAAAAAAAAAAAAAAAAAAAAAGGGGAAAAAAGGGTATACTCATACAAAAGTAATCCCTTTCAACCATCACTTATGACCCACTATAATTATGTGGTGATGTATTTTTCTGCAGAGACTCTGCCATCTGTCTGTAGTTTCTCATTTTCTTCTTATTTTCTTTGCTCGGGACTTTGATGACGTGCACCCCCACCGCCCTCAGGTGAGGCTGGGGCTTTATAAAAAGGTAGCAACCAAGTGCCAGACTGCAAGCGGCAGGTAACACCCCCCCCCCCCCCCCCCCCCCCCCAAACAATTACAGCGAGATGAAACGCCAACCAAGAGTGAATCTGGGGTTGGTTTCTACTCTAACTTTCACTGGCCAACATGTTTACAAGCAGTAACAGCCAATCCTGCACAGTATATCTTTAAGGTCTGTCATTACATGAACTTTCAGACGCAGTAGTAACAGTAAGTCAACAAAGAGTTCTTCGCCAAGACGTCACAAAAACACCACAGGCGGCTCCTTGATGTCAATACAAGTCTAGACAAGACATGTATGATGTAACGTTTTGTGTTTAAAAGCATCTGCACTCTGGGAAGCATGATGTCAACCCTCTGAGTCCCACCTGAAAACAATAGCAACAGAAAGAAGAGAAGTTGCGCACTGGCCCCGACTCTCAACGACGTGGTCAGTGTGTGAAGTCATAGTAAACAAAAGGGGAATAAATACATGCCGTACAGTGTTTGTAACATAAATAAAACATACGATGCTCTAACAGATGAATCAGGAAAAGGCTAGGTCCTCTTTCTACAGCATATGGCAGCAGTGTTCAGTACACAAGACTCATATCGATGAGCTTTACAGGCAGAGTAGCGTGTGTGAACCCAACGAGCAGCAAAGGTAAAACAATGAATTAAGTGATAAAAAGAGAGAACAGAGGACTTTAAGGCTTGTGCGTAGGCCCAGCATGAAGCACACGGTCCAGCAAAATATAAAAACACATAAAAGAATATTCAGTAACACTGAGTTCACAGTACCTCAAAGTACTTACACTGCCCGAAGAGTGATATGCGGTGGTGCACAGACATTGTCTTCTGTATTAAAGGCCTTATAAAAATATTCATCATAGGTCTATTATACAGTCAGCTAAGAGAGTCGCATCCAGTTTTCAAACTATTACGTCCATTTAACCTGATCGGTAAGTCACAGAGCCGTGGATGTTCGTATGTTAATGTTCATATGAAGCTAAACAAAAGGCAGCCAAATAAAAGAGGATCCAGAAAGAATGACTTGGCTTACATTGTAAAACTTTCTTTGGATAGAAATGTATCCCTTCATCTCTGGGGAAGCTTTAGTTTAGCTGGTTGTCAGCAGAAGTGGATCTAATCGTTAAAATTTAGAAGTAGCGACAGGTGTGGTCCGAATCAGTCTTGATTATGTTTTAGACCGTCTCCTGACATGTTAACACCTCACACTTCAACACAACTGTAGCTTGAGGAAAAAGTGTGTTTAAAGGTAAAGCTGTAATCTAGTCAGGACTATTGAGACACATTTGTATGCATGTTTTGACTTCTGTGGGGTCACCTGGACTCTAAAATTGGCTTCATGTTAAAGCTTTTGTTGCCTTCCAGAAGGTTAATCCCTGACAAAGAGGAAAAACCCACTCTTTTGGTCACATTACCACCTAAGGCTTAACAGAAAATACATTAAAAAAAATCAGTAACTACAATAACCATGTTAAGTAACAAAAAAACAACACGTGACAGGGTTGAGAGCGAGCATACTGAGAATGAGACGGTAACAGTCGAGGAAACCGTCACTGGTGAAGAGCTTGGCTTAATGATTCCTCTAGTAGATCAGCTATTTTGTTTTGGTCCACCTGTGAAGGGAACACAAACACTTTCAACAATCCAGGACATTAGAAATAACACATACACTAATCTGTTAGATACTGGAGATATGGCCTATCATTAAAGCTAGAACACACAAACATACAGAAGAAAGTCAGTGCAACAGACGAGACATAAAGCTGTTTAAGCATCCATCCAGAAGTAAGTCATTAAGACAAAAGCCTACATATACTCTCGCCCACAGGGAGGTGAAGTGACTATATAACATCAGCGTGGGTAGGTGAGTGAGTGGGCACAAGAGTACATATGTAGCAGCAGTAAATGTGCATATGGCTCTATGAGGGGAGGGTGTGTTTGTGTTGGAAGGTAGGTAGGTCAGAAATAGCACACTCACCTACGATATCACCCACACACCTTTGCCTGCAGCTTTGCACTAACACACACACAAATCTATCTTTAACACAAAACACCCACCTCACTGATTAAGCCCAGCTGCACCAACTCTTCAGCCAACTCTTGAACATTCTCATCTGAAACACACACCAGCACAGTTAATAAGAGTAATTCATAGACATGTAGCATCACCTTCATCATCATCAGCTCTACGAGTCATGCACTATCTCTTGGAGTTATGAAAACACTATAACACACACCTACAGCTGGAAAGGGTCAGGTTTAGGGTAAATAAATACCACATTCAGAAAATATGGTCCAGATGCTATTTTTAAAACCAAAGTCCACCTTAATACCTTAAAGACTGAACCCAATTTGTTTGGTGGTGCATTTTTTATATTCCTGTGGACACCTGATGAAGTATATATTATCAGTATGACTCTTTACAGATAAAAAAAGGACAGAAAGTCTAAACTGAGACTCATCTGGCAGGAGCATGAAAAAGCCAACATGTTTCAACCAGCATGGTCTTCATTAGGGCATGATCTGTTAAAACATGTTAGCTTTTTAAATATTCCTCTTTAGCTTTGCTATTAAAGGCTTAACAATTTAATGGATGGTCGTAAGCCCCTTCTCCTTCCCTCAGTTGTAGAACAGTGAACTTTCTTTCTAGGCTAATATTTTTAGATTTTTACAAATGTTATAATGAGCCCTGTATTTGTCCCAAAAACCCAATTTAACCCATGAGCTCATCTCCTCTAAAACTGTTTAACCTAAAAAAAATCAGTAGTAAATTTTGGTTAAAGGAACAGTGTGTAAGATTCAGAGGGATTTAATGTCATCTAATAGTGAGAATTGCAGATTGCAACTTCTCCTGATTAGATTTCCTTCCATGTTCATTGTTCAGGAGATTTTTAGCAGAACGGACCTGATGATTTCAACCAGTAAAAACACTGATTAGTGCAGTTTCATGTTAAAAAAAAATAAAAAAAAATAAATCCATTTTCTGTCTTTTTTGACATGGAGGGGCTGCTTACTATGGTGGCCAATCTGAAAAAGCAAATGGCTTTATCTAGAGCCCGTGTTTTTTTTGTCTGCTCTGGGCTACTGTAGAAACGCAACAGTGTAACATGGCAGTCTCTGTGGAAGAGGATCTGCTTCCTGTGTAGATTTAAACAGCTTATTCCAAGTTAACGAAAACACAACAATTCTTTCAGGTGACTATACACGAAAGAAAACATAATTATTATATATTACATTCCAAATCTGCCAATAAATCCCCCTAAATCTTAAACTCTAGACATTTAAGACTTGTTTCAAGACTCAATATTCAACAGTTACACAGGATCTACAAATTTTTCCCAGACAAGGCAAAGATAAAGATTTCTACAGCAGCAGCAGCGTCAATAGTTTATGTTGCAATGCAGCTGAACAACCTTTTGTTATGTAAAATAACTTCAGCTCTAACTGTGCTGTTCTTCTGAATGTTGACATAGCATGCAAGAAGTATGAGAAGTCACTACTTTTGGGAAAGTATAAAGCAGGTCGGGGGGAGAGAGAGTGCACCAAAAACTGATCTAAAAGTAAACTACAAAGGGCATCAACAGGAGTCTAAACAAAATATATACAACACTGCACAAAATATGTGGAAACATATGCTGGGTTTTATTTGACTAAAACATTGGGAAAATATATTCATAAACTAGTTTAAATTTCTGATAGAAAATGTTTCATAACTTTGGATGCCTACTTTATCCTGAAAACTTACAGATACACCTCCATGACTATCCTCCTTGTTAATGGATGATATCTAATGCAAACGTTTCTTTAACCTTTATTTTAGCTACCACCCACATTGAGACATTCTTGTGCCCAGTGAGCAGAGGGGTCGTCATGGTCTACCGATGACGACCCCTCTGCTCACTGGGCAGAGGGGTCGTCATGGTCTACCGATTTTTAATAACCTTGCTTGTCAATTATATCAGGAATGTGGACAAGACAAACAAATGAAGGAGATGGAGCATCCAACAACTTCGACACTGAGAAAAGAAAGACACCAGCAGCCTACAGCTATATGATGAAGCGACTGATACTGGAGCCGAGTGAGAGGCTTTCCTGCTGTTGTGTGTCTCGCGGTTTGACATAAACTCATCTAACAATATTAGTTAGTATTTAATTATGAGGAAAAAATAAGTTTCAGTTGTGACAGTTTAACTGAAGTAGGGTGTTGGAGAGCTAAACATGAGGGAGTGAAATTTAAGTGGCTGAGTTAGCTAGTGACCCTGCACACTGTTACTTTGGACTTTGGCGTGTTGATAAGGAAAGCTTTGAAGAAAATCCCCCGGTATCAGCAGGAGGGACTGTTTACAAAGAGGACAGGGTGTGACTATGATGTGAAGTTACAGAATGTGTACTAGTGGTATTAAGGTGTGAGTGTGCAGGAGAAGACATAGGATGTGAGAAACAGTGGGAGAGAAAAAGAGCAGAGGAGATAAAGTCAAGTGAAGGAGTGAATGAGAGACAGGGAGATGAAAGCCTGGGAAGAGATGGTCAGATTTTGACATGGGAGGTGACAGCTGTCAGCTGCAGCCTTTCACAGGCCTGGCATTCCCCACACGCCTGCAACATTATACATGCCTACCATACCTGTAAGTGCATGTGCACATTGGATCATACTGCCTACATTATTCTGACCAGTGCAACAGTTGTTGTGCTGCGTTCTTTTCTCAACTGTCAGACTTTGGTTCCTAGATTGCTGCACGGGACTCAGATGCAAATCCTCAATTTCAAAGAAATCAATTTAATAGTTAAGTGAAACATTCAGAATTTGTCAAGGGGGATCATTGTTGTTTTCCAAGACAATGTTCTAAAAAGCTCTCATGCCTACTGGGGTTTTAAAAGCAACTATGGCAATTAAAAAACAATTCCAGAATCTAATAGTAACAAATAATAAATTTGTCCAAAATAGAGGTGCAAGGTTTTCGTGACACAGAAGCGACAGTTAGTCTCGCTGCCTAAAATAGTCTTGCATAGTGTACTGTATATTGTGACGCCATCCGAGTTTCAAGCTCTCTGGAATTTCACTCTCACTTTCCTACATGCCTCAGTGCACACATATGGAGAAGTACCGTCTATTAAAACTCTGTGTGTGGTAAAATCTCATAGTACAGTGGACTTAGGTATGCTGTAACTCATACAGTCAAAACTTCATCATTTATCATCACCCACAGTCAAATGGATCTCTGCCATTAACCCTAAACCCAAGTAGTAAACCTTAACTATCCAGATGGACAAAATGACCATTTACTATGACATGACCCTAGATTGTGCAAACTGAATCCATATGATTATGAGATATAAACTTTGTGCATTTGTGGTGCCTCCTAGTGGCAGAATATCCCAAGACTGAGCAAAGCTTGGACAAAGCCGCGCACATACACCAAGTTTGGTTAAAGGTTTGGTTGCTATTTTTGATTTCTGAGTATTTATGTAAAATTTGATGTTTCTAGAGCAGAAGACCGTAAGATCAAATTTACAGATGAATTGAGAGATTAATATTAAGAAGGACTTTTGACTCTAAGCCAAGCCATTCCCAAGAGACTTGCTGAAAAATAAAGTTAATTGTTACAGCACCACTTTGAGGTCACAGAGTGTCAATTTTTGTGACCGACTAGAAGATGGAATTTGCAACCCACCTACAAATTGTGGTGCATTTTCATCTCACAATTTTTACTGCATCAACACTTTTAGCAGAGAAAAATAACAAGAAAGAAATAAGAATGATGACAAAAAAAAATAGGGCTCCAGCAGCTAATGTCGCTACTTGGACCCCTAAATACACACACAAACACACATGCATTAACATGTGTCATTTTCTCCCCAATCCCATAAAGAAATTACTGTATGCTTTCTGGTATGATATTTTACACACATGTTGAAGTGCTTGTATGGGGACAAAAAAAGGAGACACACAGTCACACACGTCTGACAGAAAGGTCTCTTATCTTCCCCTAATCTCACGTTCACAGGACACGCCTTCCAACAATATCAAATGATCCTCCAACTGCAGGAGTCACTGGCACACTGACTGTGGAAGTACTAAAGGCTGCTCCTTGTGATTTAAAAATATTCTCCCTACTTTGTTTTCGCATCCAATAGCTCACACAAATCAACCCTCCCAGCTCACTTTTGATGTACTTGACTGTGAACTCTGAGTTTCAACACAGCAGTATTGAGAGAGCTGGGTGGTACTGTTAGGGTGTTGGTGCACATTCACCAAATGAGTGACTGTATCTTCAACCTCACAAAGTGATTAAGTGTCAGTGTGCGATAGAAGAGGTGGACTTACGAGGTAACATGTCACAGCTTAGATGTCTATTCAGTTTATCCTCCAGTTTCAGCAGTAATGTTAGCTAAAAGGAGAGAAACACAACAGGCAAAATTATTTTTTGTACTTCTATGTGAAAGGAAACAACAAATGGTTAGAATAAGATTACGCTGTTGGTCAGTGAGGGAAATTTCATATTGCATTATGAAGTAGGTAATAAATAAATGATCAACATATATATATTTTTGCAGAGACTTACATGATACTTTGCTCCCTCCTCAACAGATTCAACGTTACACTGCATCTGAATGACCTGCAGACAAAGCATGGAAATGTAAATTCACAGCTCTTGTTGAGAATTTAGAGCAGCACTTCACTCTGTCAAATACACAGTATACATCTTGCTTCAGTGACTGATATTCCTTTTGTTATATGCAGTATAACCTGTGGTACACACCTGCCGTGTCTCGAGCTCTGCAGGTTCGGGGGTCGGGGATTTGACCAAGGGGATGACAATGGGAGTTTTTACAGTTTCCTGTGGAGGCTGCTGAGCACAGGGCAACCCGAACGCAGTCAAAGGATAAATACCGTTCCTGATACAGGGAAGGAAACGTATATGTGTAAGAAAACCAAACATGCAACACAGTTTTAATAAAAAAAATCTTTGTTTGTCTTTCCATGAAGTAGAAACTTTACAACCCTAATGTGTACAACAAAAGTAACATGTTAGTCAAATACTATTAAAAAATTAGGAAGTCATTTAGATTCATCAAAACACTGGTCTATCTGCAGCCAATTCAGTTGTTTGCCCATGATTTCATATCATAGACAGGCATCAAAAAGACTGGCTGCACAGCAGAGTGGCCAAAAAGCATATGGCAAAATGTCTTTTTAATGTGGTACATTTAGTTAAACCACAAAACCTGTCGAAGAATTAATGTTTCAGAAGAGAAATACACAATGTTTAGATTATATCATATCACAAAAGCCAAAGAAAGAGGCACCACAATTGTCAGATGGTCCTATGCTGCCCCCCTGTGGCCAGTGTTTTATCTGTGTGGCTTAAGGAAACAGAACACAAGAGCAGCCATCATAGAAGTCATTTAAGAGCCGTCAGGCCCCCTTACTGGATATCAGTTACTGACTGGATGCTGCAGCTGATCTCACTGATCTGATACATCACAACATCTCTTGAGTTTTATACCGAGGTGAAGAAAGATAAAAGATTAAACTCAAGTGTATTATTTGGAAGTTTTGGATTTTGTTTGTGTTCTGATTTACCATCTAGCCTAGTTAAAAATCTGAACAACAATAAGAGCACAAACAACTTTCTGAATTTGTAAGATTTTTCTTTTCATGATGTGTTATGTAATTTAACTTAATTATGGATACAAATAAAGTCAGAGTGTGTCTGTCAGCAAAAAACACTTTTTACATCAGTTATCATTTCCACTCAGTCACATGAGAGGTTTGATAAAAAGTTAGCAAATTTTCTGTAAACATTTAGCCTAATAAACAACTTACAGTGTTTAAAAGACACATTCTAGGTCACTAAATAATGAATATCAATAAATACAGATGCAATAATGAATAAATAATATAAAAGCATTCTGCCAGTATAAATAGTTCCTGTGCCTCTGAGCAGAACAGAGTATAAATACAGAAAGTAGGTTGTTATTTATGTGCTGATGTTTGTTAAACAGAGAGAAAACAATGCTGCTCTGGCAGTGATAACTGTGTGCTTTCACTGGTATGCCTGTGCAGACACAGAGCTCTATAACTGCTGAAACTGACTGACAGCTAATCCAGCTGTGATCACCTGCTGCCATCATCAGAAATGGATGTCTCCTCAGTTGGACTATAAAGAAAAGGCTGTATCATTTCTCTAAAAACCCATTCCCTTGTTTCCTCTCTCCTCGCATGGTTTCCTTGCATCTCTCCATGCATCCCTGGTGGGAGGGACTAGGACACAAGGGAACGATGCAAGTGAGGGAAACCTGGATGTGAATTAAAGTATTGGCATAAACTCTCTGGCTGCTCCCTGCTTTGCTTCTTACCTCACATCCTCCAGGAATTTATCAAGCTCCAAGGCAGGAAACTGTGAAAGCCTACAGAAAAAAGAAATATAATTAGATACTTCACTTTGAGGTCTTATCACCACAGAAATTTAAAATAAGATAATGTTTCCTACAAACTCAAAAAAAATCATTAAGGATTTACATATACGAGTAATGAAAGACAGTATGTTGGACACATAGCAACAAATTCGAGGGCTTGAGACTTGCTAGACTAAAATTGATAAAAGACTCGACTTGACTTTGACTTGGTTTTCATGATTTCAACTTGAGACAGAAGACTTGAAAGGACGTGACTTTTTTCAATTAAATATTTGCATTTTTCTAGATATTCAGAAGTTACTTTTTGTTTTTCAAACATAACTGGATGATTTCTAGTGCAATGCGCGTAAGCCTGGCAACCTAACAAGGATGTGGCAGACCAACAAAGGCCTAAAGGCCATGGAGGGGGATAGTCCAAAATAATATAATTTGGATTCAAGGATTATGTCGTTGATGACAGTAGTAAAAAGAGAACAGCCATGCGCAAGGTGTGCAGCTTAAATAATTGGTGACACAACCACATCAACATCCAACTTCATCCATCACTACAGATCACAAAAAGAAAGGTGAATGTGTCTTTTTAGCTAAATTACTGGCTTATTGTTTGACCAGATCATCAGAATTTCATATGACTTGACTTGTCAGCTGCTGACCTGAGTACTGACTTGACATGTCTTGCTTGACTTAAAGCTTAGACTCCACTTGACTTGCTTGATTCTCACCATGGTAACTTGAGACTTGCTTAAGACTTGAAAGCTAAGACTTGAGTCTTGCTTGTGACTTGCTCATGAGTGCCTTACACCCTCCTCTGCATTACACTGATAAACATATCTTCTTGAGTAAATTCAGAAGGAGAAAATAACACCAATGCTGTTGCTGCTATTAAAACAAATACCTCTATCTGAATGACTAGTGTAATTATCTGTGCAGGACGTAGCTGACACAATAAGAAAACCAGCATGTGGCCCTTACTTGAGCTGAACATCTTCTTTCTTCTCAGCGATGACCAGGTTGGGATCCAAGTTCTTAGTAATCTCCTCCAGGGCATTTTCAGGAATCATATCTGCATAATTTCAAAGCCATTAAACCATTTTATTAGAGAAAAGACAGACATTTCTATGTCCGATATCTACCAACATTCTGCAACTCACACCAAAAACAACCCAGATCTATAACTAGCACTACAGGTAAGATGAAAATATGTATTTCTGATTTTGGGGTGAACTGTCCCTGTAAGCTTGGAGATTGTTTCACTTTCTTCCCGAGTTAAGTCACCTTTGTCTACATACTGCCTGTGGCTGTGAGGGCACTATGACCCCTTCTGCATTACACTTAAGGATCTGATCCATGGTTGAAACAGAAAGTTGTGATTAGTGGAGCTTTAGTAGCTTTAGCTTTAGCTTTGAGTAGCACCTACTCCTGCTGAGCAAGCTCAAGAGTTTTAACTCCAGCTCAAGTCACTCAATCTTCTACTAAACCATTTCATTCTGATTAAAGCATATCAAAACAACTAAATGCTGTGTCTTTTGTTTGTGTGTGTTAAAGACTCACGGTGGTGGCTGACAATACAATGTGCAGCCAGCAGTTTTAACAGCGGTACTTCAAACAGAGCTTGGTTAAACAGCAGCTCTCTGGCTGTAGGCCGTGTACTGGGATCACACTCCAGGCACTTCTTGATTAACTCCTACAAAAACAAAATCTGGGTCACACACTCAAGAAAAATGTTGTGTGGGACTTTTAAATAAGACACATTAATACACACACACAAAAGCACACACACATCCACACAAAAATCTGATATGAACTTTCACGATATTCATCTCACCCTCTGCAGTGGGTCTTCCAGTAACTGTATGGCATTGTCGATGGCCTCCTGAGAAATGAAAGAGGACTCTCCATTGCCCTGGATTTCCAAGAGCGCCATCTACAACACACCAACACGTTAACATATTGCTTTAACAATGGACTCAGGCCATTCTATCATGTATCGTGGGTACCATCTCACCTCTAAGGCACACATGCCAAACGAGTAGATGTCTACACGTGTGGTGACATCATCAACAGCTACAATAAAAGGAGGGAATAAGGAGAAAAAAGTGAACAGATATAGCATTACCTAAATGTTTATCAAACTATGAAGTGAAATTTCAGTCATGTCTACCTCCATATTCTGGGGCACAGAAGTGCAAATTCTTCTGTTCCTCATGACACGTCTTCACGTTGTTGTTAATGGTGTCTGGGGCAACTGCAGATAAGGAGAGAATATGGAGGATACATGGAAGTAGGATGGAGAACAGTAAGACCCCTAATGGGGGTCGGTACCCCCAGGTTGGGAACAAGCAGTGTAAACTATAGTACAGGACGTTAAGAGTTTGGAGGCTGCTTTTCAGCACATATGAGGTACAAGAGGTGACACAACCTACAGAGAAGCTTTTGTGGCTGGTGTTGAGTCATTGCAGTATGTGTACACACAACTAAACCTACACACCACCCTTGTTCACATCTCATACGATGTGCAGGGGTTATTTCCATAAACGAGAAAAGAGATACTGTCACCTTTTTTTGTCGTATGAAAATGCTTCATTGTTTAGTTAAATTATCAGACGAAAATGTTACTCTGGGCGGCACGGTGGTGTGGTGGTTAGCACTCTCGCCTCACAGCAAGTGAGCGTGAATGGTTGTCTGTCTCTATGTGTCAGCCCTGTAATAGTCTGGCGACCTGTCCAGGGTGTACCCTGCCTCTCGCCCGATGTCAGCTGGGATAGGCTCCAGCCCCCCCGCGAACCTCAAGAGGATGAAGCGGTTAGAAGATGAATGAATGAATGAATGAAATGTTACTCTTGTGCATAATAATAATAATAATTCAGTAGAATTTCTTTGCCTTTAAATCCGTAACTCAGTATCATTCGACTCCATCAGCAGCACTCCAGCTCCACTACCACACCCTCTGTGAAACCTGCATAACTCTTTACCTGATCCAATCTTGATGAGCCCATTGTGTTGGATGAAGATGGTGTCACAGGTGAGGTTGCCATGGATAATGGGAGGGTCACATGAGTGGAGATAACTGTAGTGCAGAAAAAAGAAACACCCACAAAAACTCATTAGAAAGTGACTGGACTATTTTCTATGTGAATGCATCTTTCTGTGAGTGACCATATTGAATATCACATAATGTCTGAAAAGATGAAGCCAACCTGAGAGCAGACAGGATCTGTGTGCACCATCTCTTCCAAGCCTGTAGGACCATACACCTTATCAGAGCGCTTACTAGCTGCTTATATCTTCAAATTATTTCATTTCTTTCTTTTGCCAAACGCCAGATGCCAATTACTGTGTTAACAAAATGATTGCTCCTCGCTTTGGAACGCCCATCTGATCCCAGCTGTGATAAAGGGGCTGTCACCTTTCACGAGATATGTACGTCATGCACAGCAAGTCTTTCATAGACAATTACACTACTATGGCAAATTTACATACAGTTAGTTATTACCTTTTCATTCATGGTTTTGTGATTCTTCTTTGTCTTCTTTAGAAACTGCTTCAAGCTTCCTGATGACATATATTCAGTGATGAAAATCACCTGAGGGAGAGGAGGCAATCAGGGGAAACCTCATGAACAGAGACCATACAAATATAAATAAAAAAAGATGAAAAATACTGTTTCATTTTTAAAAAATAATAATTTATTTATAAAGACAGACAAAAGATTCAATAACAAGCTTGTGTCGCCAATTTCAAGTCTACCAAATAATGTTTTGCCAGGTCTGAGACCCACCCTGGCCCGGTTCTCCTTCGTGTCGGCCCAGTACTTATGGAATTTGACGATGTTTGCATGTTCCAAATGGACGAGGTTATCAAATACTGCCTTCACTTTCTCCTAAACACACAGGAGAAACAAAAAAATATGTTACAATACTAATCAATAAGGTTGAGCCAAATACTCAGATAAAACAAGAATAAAATACCTATTTTATACTTATAGTAACATTTGATTGAAATGTGTCAATATCCCTACTCTTGATGAGTGAAAATCCTCATTTAGCTGCTCTGTAAATTGTTTTCTAACAAATAATAAATACAGCAACTTCTGATCAACCTACATTAATTTCAGTCTTAAAATAACAACTTCTGGTCAGGTCCCACCCATTTCCATTATTGTCCATTTCTGATGTAAATCACACCCACTTCCTGTTTAAAACCCACCCATTCTGAGTAGAATTATGGACACAGATAATTTAGCTGGTTGAACAGATAGAGATAGTTGTGTACTTACTTGTCCTTACTAATTAGTAACACATTTAACTTTGCACTGAATCCTCTGTGCCTGACTGATGAGTAATTTATCAGAAAGAACTATGCATATGAACAAAATAAAATGAATCATAATTTTCTCTCATGTTCTCATATAGATTTGACCTTAAACAAGGGATGCCAAACTGGTGTCTTACTAGTGAAGTGATAATATACATGGTGCATCATCATGACTCTATTAGTCAATCAAAAGAAAATTCACCACTAACTATTTTCATAACTAAGTAAATATTGAAGTCATGATGATAGTTTTTAAAGGATTCAAATTTCAAGTAAGTCATCAACCGTCTATATGTGCTTAAAATAGCTGCTAAAATTAGCAAGGATTCTTTTTTAATATTTTTTGGGGGGGCATTTTGCCTTAAACTGACAGGACAGTTAAGCGTGAATGGGGGAGAGAGACAAAGGGATTGACATGCAGCACAGGTCGGAGTTGAACCCAGGCCGCTGCGGCAAAAGCCATAAGGAACGCCTGCTCTATCCACTAAGCCACCAACATCCCATCAAAGAGGATTCTGCTTGCTAAATTTCACATGCTGCCTCTCTCTCCTTGGCAGCTTAAGCTGTGTTACTTTTTTTACGAAATATATGCTCATATTCGCTGTGGGCATTCATGAGCTCCTCCCATTCCACAGGTGTAAAATAAGTTGATCTCTTTTTCTCTCCGGTTGCCATGGTGAATCAAGGTCTCAGGGCTCCACTGATAATGGCTTTTTATTGTGGTTTTGCACGTGCTTAACTCAAGGTGTACCTACTCAGAGTTGACTGAACTAATTCAAATCAGCTGTTCTGAAACCAGATACTCAGAGTTTCCCAGCTCAGAGTAAGTCAACTTAGAGTTCAGGATTAGACTCGGAGTTTGTTGAGCCTCCTACCTGGAATACCCCTCTGGGCCTGGTGCATGCTCTGCTATAAATACCTCCTTTTTTAGGTAGTAAGTCTCTCTCTGTCTCAGGGACACTGCCTATCCCCAGCTGGCCTGAGGACAGCTTCTGTTTTTTTTGTTTTTTTTCAGTTGACTACCTATATTGGTTGCCACGCACCCATACATGCCTTTTATCACTGACTTACTGCTGTCACACGTTGTATTAACTTGTGTATGTTTTTGTGAATAAATCACTGTTCTTGGCAGCCAGTTTGTTTGGTCTCCCTGTCTTGTCACATCTTTTGAGCCAGGCTGTGACATAGTAAATGAACTATCATTTGATTTTCAACTGTTGGTCAGTCAAAACAAGCTATGTGAAGATGTCACTTTGAGGCATTTTTTTAACTTTTTAAAGACATTTCATAGACTAAACAATTAATCAAGAAAAATTTTGGTAATTTAGCAATAATAAAAATAATCATTATGTGCAGTCCTATAGAGCACAATGCCAGATATTGTGCAACACTGGTAAAATGTACACAGATTATCATGTTGACAAATGGTCTATAACTGCTTTATGACAACAGGAGGGGATTTTGTTTTTAATATTTCACACGCAAGGTAAGAAAGTTTTCCTTTGATATACCTGGATACTTGAACATATTGTAAAGGCTCATTAAAACTCAGGATTTTGGAGCATCTATTGGCAGAAATGGTATATTATATTATTATATATTATATAACTATGTTTTCATTTGTTTATAATCACCTGACAGTACAAATCGTTGTGTTTCTATTACCTATGAGCCATTTATATCTACATACAAAATGAGTCCTCTCCCACAGTGTCTGCCACGTTGTTCTACAGTAGCCCAGAATGGACAAATCCAACACACTGGACCTTTAAATGCCAACAACAATATATCACTGACTCCCCAAATTTATGATACTTACAGTATGTCAGTACAATTTTTTATTTAAGGTATATGATGGATCTCTAAAACATTAACTGCCATTGCTTGACACTGGTTTTTCCAAATTGCAGACCAACAGCTGCATCATTTTACCACTATAACGTGTCTGTGTGAACTACAGTAAAAGAAGTAAAATCCAACAAAAAATGATTCTGTATATGTGCATGAACTACTAAGGCACAAAAAGACCTGTGACACTAAGACAATGTTCTATTCCCTTTTTCACACCTGGAGGGGAAATCACAACCACACCTTTGTGAGTCCTTCAGCTGTTTTATTCCTACATTGTAACACTCAGACTCACCTGCAGCGCTTTGAAGTTCTTCCTCTGTGAGATCATGACTTCATTCCATACTACCTCCACCCCTTCCTCTGTGTCCATGGCCAAGTACGCAGCATCTATTCCTGGGACATTACGCTGATTCACCTGCAGTAGAAATGATCAGAAATAGCTTATGAGATAATATATTTTAATAGTGAAATGAATAAACAAAAAAAAAAAACTTGAATAGCATACATTCACTGCCATGTTTCAGCTGACATGGTCAAGAAAGAGTTGTGCTAGCCATACCTTCTGTATGGTATTACTGAACATGGACATGGCAGGTGATTTATAAAATAGCTCCCAAGTTTTGAAAAAGCTGCACCACAGACAATGAACTGAAGTCTGATTTTGTGGACCCACGATGTTTGTTCCCTTCTTTATACTCAAAATGAGCTTTACTGTAGTGTTCTTAGTTGTGAAACAGAAAATGTATGCATGTACTCAGAACATTCCCCTGGGTGTTCTCAGTGTCATCTATAACATCTGTCACAATTCATTGTCTAGGGAGCAGTTCCATGTTTTACATCCTATGACATCACAAATTTTAGGTTTATCACTCTAGTTTTTGAGTTTGTAAGAGTGTCATTTACAAAAAATGGTGGACTGTCTTAGGCCATAGGAATAACATGTATTAATTTTAAAATTGGCTTAGTTTCCCTTTAAATGTAATGCAATCTCCTGGCCGCCCTTACCTCCTCTTTGCGTTTCTGCCAGCGGCCACAGGGACTCTCTTCCAGGATTTCTGACTCATCTTCACTCTCATCCTCATCCTCTGTTGCTGTGGTGGCAGAAGGATGAGTGGAGGCCCCAGGCGAGGACAAAGATGCTCCACCTTCGACCTGTTGAGTATCGCTGGACATGTGTTCTGCTGTGGACTCTGGTGTGTCTCCCTCTGAACCAAGAGATCCTGTCTCCTGTGCCTCCGACATCATGACACAGCTTGTTAGCTTGCTGGCTGTCCCACCTGGTCTCCTGCTCCTGGGCTGCAACAAGTGATAGGAAGCCTCTGTCTTGCTTACTCCTCTCTGTTTGAGCTGGTGGTCACATATTCATTTTCCTCTCTGGTCTGGCTTGACACAAGATAACGATAGAGCTCGAGGAGGGAGGGCTGTAAACAAATGACATATTTAGGTTTGTATCTTTTGGCAATAACGTTACACGTAGCATTATTTCTGACGTTAAATCATAACTTCTTTCCCCCCAACTACCGTTAGTTTAATTACCCACTGGGAGATAAACTGATGTCGTGTGCTTTATTTGATAGCTTGGACTCGGAGGCAGAGAAACATTACTGCCACGGGACACTGAAACATCACTCACTGTGGCTACTTCAGCTAACTTAGCTATTAAAGCCTCTTGCTAATGCCCCCAACGTTAGAGAAGTTCACCGGTTTACTGTTAACTTTTCCCGGCTAACAAGCTAATGACAGGTAAATAAACAAATAACTTACCGTGGAGCACAAACTACACCCGTATCGAGAGTCATGGGTTACATACTGCTGAAAAGAAGTAAAAAAAATAACTGTTTTTAGACAGATATGTTAGCTTGTTCGTCATAAAATCCGCTGATGGCACAGCTGTTGAACTGTCTCGCGAGTCGCGATAGCGGAAGTCGAAAACGCTTGAGCGTCACGTGACTCATGCAGACTTCAGCTAGTTCCCGGAAGTTAATGGCGGGCCATTTGATTACATAATACTGAGAGACAGGACTACTATTTATTATTAGTAGTACCAGTCAATAACTGCATTGATTAACAATCCATATGTAGCCCGACGTATGCAGTTACATCCTTATGTTGTTTTTAAAAGTAAAATTCGCTAATATTTGAGGATTAGAGTTAACAACTAGGATTTCAGAAGACTTTATTTATCCCATACCCTGGAAATTCACAAGTTACAGCAGCTCAGAGCTCAGAGCAGAATCAGAGGCAATAGAAAAAATAATAAGTGACTTGGTGCCAAACAAGGATAAAAATATGACTAAAATACAAATGAAATAAAATTAAAATGATAGAAAATCTATACACACCTCTCACTGAAATAGATACTGTATGTTCATGACTGATACATGCACAGGATGATTGTAGTACACATGATCAGTAGTATATTTACTGTAAAATATAGAAATTAATAAATATAATCCCACAGGAAGTGGCAAAATATTGCACACTGAAATTTGCGCAGGAATGTTACACAGTAGGCCTATGTGCACAGTACACAGTATAAATATAAGGGATGTGGATAAGGATATGTATACGTATACAGGACAATATAAGTATGTATATGACATAGTATAATCATATGATAGGAACATATTACACTGTATAACTATGTGGAATCTGTATATAACATATGGTTATCTGCCTTGTTGACATATTTTAGACTTTCCTTACCTTGGTGAAAGAGCATGTTGCCGTTCATTGCTTTAAATTATTTTTTTTTTTTAATTAGTCTTGTATAGTAGTCAAAAGCAATTACAACCTATCGTTTATTGCAAATGTAATGATTGTAATGATTTAATAACTTATGTCATCTTTATCACTTTCAGCTGGACAGACAGGGACCAACATGTGACTACCAATTACTGTCAAGTGGCAGCACAATGGGTCACTGGACTAGCAGCAGCAGTTTATAAACATTTATATTTTATGTATCTTTGTCTTTTTTCTATGCACTTATTTACGGCTATAAAATAATTTTCTAATAAACTCAGAAACATGAGTAGCATGTCAAGCAGTTTGTCTGTGCCCTTCCCTTCATGTTGTCCTCTCATATAGTCTCCACCTTGGTGCTGCCTGGGGATGTTCCAATCGTTTAGAGAGAGGTACACATGCACAGTTTTTCCACTGACATGGAGATGAGAAAAAATAAAATGGATAAAGCCAGCAGGAATAATTTTACACTCACTTCAGATTACAACAAAAGAATATTTGAGGTTATCATTCTCAAAAACTGCATCAGCACATTTTCCACAGACAAAGACCACACCATGGGAAGCTTTGGGTTATTAAAAATTAGAAACAGTTAAAGGCTTGCAAAACCCAGGGATATGAGATGCAGGGTGAGGGTGCTGTCTCATTGCAGGGAGTGTTCAGGCTCCATTGCATCCCCCTGTTCTTGTGCTGAAAGAGAGAAGGGGGAAGGGTTAGACAGACCTATTGTCCTCAATTACTCAATTAGTTGTTTTCTGTGGACAAGAAAAAAAAAGGTTTCCTCCTTTTTAAGGTAACACAACCTGACTAACTGACTCATTGAGTTGATGGACATTTTATAGGTGAAGCATTCCTTTAAAATTGTGCAGTCTTTTGAAATTGTATAATTACGGTTATGATTATTGTTTTGTTTCTGTACATTTCTTAACTTACGTGTCTCACCTGTCTCCTACATCACTGACAGACTTGTAAAAGTACATGCCCTCTTTGAACTTATGCTGGTGAATTACTTAATAAAGTATGAAATCATCTCTTCACTTTGTCAACTCATCAACTTTACCTTTGACAAACATTTATTTTTAAAATCACATCAGATACACTCTTCACCACATCACACACTGGCTCTCTTTTATTAAGCTCTTTTACAAAAAGCACAAATGTAATCTTTAAACAAGCACATTTCTATTGCTACAATGTCTCGGTAAGTACTTGTGTATTTTTTTTGTCTTAATTTTCAAAATTTAGGCAAAGTAAATCAAAAGTATCTGCAATTTACTGCCTTTGGTTCTTGTTATGGATTGATTTGAGGATTATTTTCATGATTCATTGTTTAATCTGTGAAATGAAAATCAAAAAAATGAAAAATCACAATTTTACTTCTTCAAAATGCTTCTTTTCTCCAACCAGCAATCCAAAACCCAAAGACTCATAAATCAGCCTATAAATTACAAAGAAAAGCAGCAAATCTCACATTTAAGAAGCTGGAACCAGCAAATGTTTGACATTTCTGCTGAAACAATTAATCAATTGTCAAAACTGTTGGCGATCGATCTTATTTTGATAGATTAATCGACTAATTTCTGCAGTTCAAATTTCTCAGCACAATGGGAGGCTCAGACTCCTTATTACCTTTCCAACAAAGTTTTGTGCATATACTTTGCTTCATGACTGTTGTATGACTTGTGCACTAACATGCAAATGTCCCTTTTCAGTCCAGCTGAGAGAGAATCTTCACTGTTACCATGCACCACACAGTGGAATGGGCTCACTCCCCCAGTCAGCGTGGCTCTGCCTGAAGAGGCAGACCTGATCCACACCAGATCCACCAACTGAGGTGTTGAGATCTTATAGTGTATTCGAGGACAACTCGGAGCTGCAGCACAGGTATGACACATCTTTCATTATTCCCATATAGTAATTAAAACAGCGGTCAAACTCAAGAAGACATTTAGATTTTCAGTGCGTTTTGTGGCTTTTATGAAATGACAACATTTAAAAAATGATGTTTGTGTTTTATTATCTGCAGAGAGAAAGTTGTGAAACACCTAGAGTCACTCTATAAGGAGTGGCTCCAAGAAATCTGTGAACAAATGGTAAGACATTTTTCTTTATCTATACTGTTTTGTTGTTGTTGTTGTTGTTGTTTCAGAAGTAACTCCAGATATGACACTAGAAACATGTTATTGTATTGTTAATACATTGTATTATTACTTTTTTGGTTGGTTTTAGAACATACCTGAAACAGTCACTGCACACATTGGTGGCAATCTCGTCCCGTTCGGTTCCTATCATTTGGGAGTTCACTCAAAAGGTAATGAGTTTCTCTCCTCAGCTGGCAGCTTTTGTTTCACAGAGGTTCCTGACTTCACTGATAAATTTGCCGGCCATCAATTTCACAAGTGACACCTAGAAGTTATAGTCAAGGGGCGTGCAGCATGAATGTACAGTACATGGTGATGATAATGGCTCAGAGCATAGTTACATATTTAAACAGACTTTCCTCTCATATGAATCTGTGCTGTTCTGACAGGTGCTGATATCGATGTCCTCTGTGTTGGACCCGGTTTTCTTGAGAGAAAAGATTTCTTCACCTCCTTCTTTCAAAAGCTGAAAGCTCAGGAGGAGGTCAACAACATACGGGTTAGTCTATCAGTGCTTCACTACTGTATGTGCAAGCTACATTTTTCTCCCTGTTGCAAGTGACTGACAATATTGTTTTTCTTTAGGCTGTTGAAGAGGCAACTGTTCCGGTCATCAAGTCTTCCTATGAAGGAATTGAGGTAATTTGTTCAGAGAAAAAGTATAAACTCTCCTGTGTGCAGTATCCCTCTTTAAGATTTGTCTGCATGTGTCTTGATCATTGTTTCTCTGTGTTTTTATTATTCTGTTTGTTTTGTAGGCTCACTCTGAGAGCTATCAGACTGTGGGCCAAACATGAGTTGAACACATGTCTACACATTTCAAAAAGTCAGTTTGCAGTGGGCTAATGTAAATTAAAACAGACCATTGTTAACATTAGGTAACATTGTGAACTGGAGGTCTTAATTTTTATTCTCATCCTCTTATTTATCCTCAGGCCGTAGCATTTACTCCAGCGCCCTGGGCTTCCTTGGCGGTGTTTCATGGGCCATAATACTGGTTGCCAGAATTTGTCAACTATACTCAAACGCTACAGCGTCCACCCTGGTGACCAAATTTTTCCTGGCCTACAGTATAAGGTGAGTTGACAAACCAACAACGAGTTGAGTTTAGGAAGGCCCTGTTTAGACCTTGTGTCAACATGTGTTTTGGCTGATTTGATCACAAGAGGACAGTGCTAAATACAAGTGTAAACCACCACCAAGGTGCATTGTGATCTGATCACTCAAACCACTAGCCAAGGTGGGCTGGGACACATTCGACCACATATCTTTTGTAGTGTAAACTCTAATATGTCCTGATGCGTTCCTTACAAGGGCTTCATCATCAGTGCAGGACGTGGTGGTTGTTTTGGACACATTTCAGAGTGGTCTTTTATTGTGGCCAGCCTAAGGCACACCTGTGCAATAATCATGCTGTCTAATCAGCATCTTGATATGCCACACCTGTGAGGCGGGATGGATTATCTCAGCAAAGGAGAAGTGCTCACTAACACAGATTTAGACAGATTTGTGAACAATATTTGAGGGAAATGGTCAAAAAGTTTTAGATCTTTGAGTTCAGCTCAAAGATCTAAACTATTTTTGTTCAGTGTAGAAATAGCTTATCTTCACACCGATGGTCTCATTTGCTGTTGTAGGTCACGCACAGACATCAGCAGAAACGAGAGACTTTTGCATATCCAGTAAAAATTTCCTTGTAGTGGCTTTAATTATGGCAGAAAGAAAAAAAATTGAAAAAATTTTCATTTCTAGTTTCTACTAACTCATTGTTTGTTGCGTTTATGCTTCATATTTACTCTCAGTTTGCAGCAGCAAAGTATTAAAACTTATTTATGTGGTGTATGTGTTTGCCTCATTAACTCATTGGCCTGTACGTCTGTTTCAGACATGGATTGAGCACAAAATGGCTGATCAGTCAAAGAGGGGATGACCGTAACAGCCAGATACATCAGCAGGAACAATCTTAGCTGGAAGATGCCAAACGGAGAGAGCAAGAGGGTTTATAGTCCTCAGCCTGCCGTGAGCCATCAAATCTCTGCCACTGTACCAGCTAGCCACACACCAGCTGTAAGCACAGGCCAACCAGCCGCTAAGAGAAAAGGCTGGCTTCACTTTGAGACGCCAGCCAAGAAGATCAAAGCAGACATTGTACGCAAAACCATTCAATCCTCTGTTGATGAGAAAATGTTCTATTTTCTGAAGTTAAAATGTCTCAAATGTTAGCCATCATTTTAAGGAATTGCTCCACATTTCTACACTTCTTTGCTTTCTTGGCAAGAGTTAGATGAGAAGATTGACGCCACTCTCATGTCTGTACGTTAAATATGAAACTACAACCAGTGGCGGGTTTGTTTAGCTAATCATATCTCATTTGTTTAATCTGTACAAAACCCAAAGTGTAAAACTGACAAGTTGTGGTTTGTGGTGGGTTTTGTGCTGGACTGTTTCTTGGCCAGGCGCAGTCACTTCCTGGCAACCTTACAGTGATGTCCAGACTTCAGGAAGTTACTGTGCGCGACCAAGACATAGTCTGGCCCATAACCCCCATGTATACATCAAAAAAGACATTCTCACACTTCTGATTTTTTATCAATTGAACATTTAAGAACAGATAACCTTTGGCTAGCTGTTTCCCTGTTTCGGTACCTTTACATTTATCGTATAGACTCCTTACCTAACTCTTTGCAAAAAAGTGTATTTCCCAAAACTATAACATCAACTTTAACATGACTAGTTCTTGTGGTGAAATGTAAAAAAAGTGTCACAACAACAAACATTGTTCTTGTTTTCTACAGGAATCCGTGTCTGTGGCTAATGACTCAGCTGCACAACGGTTGGCGACCAGCAAACCTGCCTCACTAAGGCAAAAAGAGACCTTGTTTTCCTCAACCAGAAACATCACCTAAGGAGTTTAAATCTGATGAGGAGCCCGTCAAAGGCACCTGCTCTCAGCCCTCTGCAGGTGTCACACCAGGTGTCTCACTCAGTCAGAGTCCATCTCAAAGCGCAAGAGGCACCAAGAGACCACACACTCCTAAGCCCAAGACACCCAAAGAAAAAGCCAAACTTGACCTGGTGAGCAAAACTGTCTCTGAAGATGTTCTGTAAAGGTCACATGCACTATTACACAGTCAGTACAAGATAAATTCAGACCTATCTGCTGCCCTGTTCCACTGTGTACTGTAAAAATGCTGATCTAGTGACTTTCATATTTTTTGACTTACCTTACCTTACTTCTCTCTCAGACTCCACCCCCTGTCGAGCTGTCAGAGCCGACTCATGACCCCATCCAGCCTGCTACAACTGTAAGACCAGCCATCAAACTCCATCTGATCAGGTACAGCACAGTATTAAGAACAGAAACATATCCTTAGTCCTTTGAGCTGCACACACTTCTCTTTTATACTTTGTCATGTGGCCCATATGACCTTATCCTCACTTACAGTACGCATGCTGAGAGTCATAGAGGGCCTCCTGAGAGGTTGACTGATAGAGCTGGATCAGTGTTGTATGTTTTCTCCACAAGAGGGCATTGAAGCCTTTTAGTGCATAAACCTGATATAAATACCAGTGTGGTAGCTGATCCCTTTCTACATACATTTTTAAGGCACCCATGGGTGACCTTTTGAGTGAAAAGTGTTATATGCAACTCTGTGAATTAGTAAATTTTACAACCCTTTTTCTTCTTGTATCTCTAAGGCGAAACTGATTCAGCTCCTGACCAAGAGGGAAAACATCATCCTCCCCCTCCATCACCAAGCACCATTTTTTCTTTTTCATTTTCTTTTCATTCTTAATTCTTAAGGAAAACCGAGATATTCCTTTTTCCGAAACACTTCAGTGCACTTTAAACTATTGTGCACTGTCTAAATAAAATGATAAACACTGCAGTGTTCAGTCATTTTGATGCAATATTTGAGCTGCTCAGGGGTTGACTTGAGGAGTGATGTCAGGAGATGTCATCCTTCTCTGATAAAAAAAACAAAAACTTGATGAAATTTATCCCTCTTTTAAATAAAGCTTCAAAGATTTGATACTTCACTCTGCAGGATTTAAATTTGGGTTGCCAGATTAACATTTTGGTAGATTTAGTATACACATATGCAGATTTGATGGGACCTTGGTAATGTCAGCGTAATTGAGGTGTTTCAGTGTCATTCAGCAACGCAAACTTTACTTTTAAATGCCGCAACAAAATTGTAAGTAGTATTCAATTAATAATTCCTACAGACTTCATGGCAGCAAGAAAGCCACAAAAACACAAAAATTTAATTCTAAAAAGTTGACAATGACTTAAGTTAAAGAAATGCTTTGTCTCAGCTTATCTCATATGGAAACTCAATTAGTCCCGTGCAGGTTCTGATGACAGTGTCTCCTGGACTCCCTTTCTTCCTGCACTGTACCTGACAGTGAGGTCGTCTCTAAACAATGATTTTGCCTCGCTCAACAACATGTTATATAGCTGTTATGATGACAGAGAACTGATATTTAAAGGTAACTTATTCCAATCAGACGGAGCTCGAAACATAAAAGCTTTTTTTTGTTTTTGCCAACTTCTTTAGACACAAAGGGCACTACAAAGAGAATCTGATCAGAGACTCTTAGTGAATAATTTTAAGTATGAAAGACAAAAAAAAATGATTTAAGCAATAAGGAAAGTTAAAGCCAGTGAAACTGACATCTTGTATCATGAGGGAGCCATCTAAGTGTGTCTAACATTGTACAGTGGTGTGTAAAAAGAGAACAACCTAGTATAAATCTGCAGAGTCTGGTTAATATAACATTGAGGGGATGAAGATCAGTTTTAGAGGCATTCAGGTAAAAAGAAATCTCAGCATCCATTATTAGTGGTACAAGCTGCGAGGCAAGTTTCCTTCTTACCTTAAAGGTAAAACCATGTCTGGAGCGATACAGAACACCAGACCAAAATATACTTTTTTATTACATGATCAGTGTGTGGTTCAAAGGACAGTTCAGAGTCAATCCACACAGCAAGATAATACACTTGTTTTACTTTCTGAGATCGACCATCATTACAAGTTAAAACCAAAGAATTTGATTTGGAGTTGAGGTTCTGTCTCATACCTAGAGGCACTGATTAAGTTTCTGTTTTACTGAGGAGTAGTTTGTTAGCTGACAACCAGGTGTGTTGTTGGATATTGAAATGTACAACCCAAATTCCATAAAAGTTGGGACGCTGTGTACAATGTAAATAAAAACAGAGTGCAATTATTTGCAAAGTCCTTTTTGACCTATATTCAATTGACTGAGTCACAAGGCAGAAGTGCTAATTTTATTGTGTTTTATCTTTGCTGTGTGTGTGTTTTTATTAATCCCTTGTATTGTTTCTCAGCTATATAAACTATCTCGCAGCAGTGTCAAACGCTATGATGCCAATATTAGTTGCTGATGATACTAAGTAACAGGGGCTTGTATATTCAAAATGGTTTCAAACAAATAACTTGGCATTAAATGTAAAAAAAATCTGATAATATGATATTTGTAGGGAAGATGAATTATGATTTGGAATTAGCAAAATGATATATTGATGGTGAGGACATTTCTAAAGTTACATCAACAAGATTTCTTGGAAAGATCACATCAGTTTTGTTTGCATCAAGGACACAAAATCACTGGGAATTATTAGAAAAATGCATCCTTTACTTCATTTACCTTGTTTTTTTTAACATTACATCACAGTCTAATATATCCATATCTTACTCACTGTAATATTGTCTGGGCACACACTTACCCCACATAGCTTCAGAAAATGTTTCTGCTGCAGAAACGATTTATTAGAAGAATAGCAACTTGCACCAAGACATGTGCTGCAACCTCTCCTCTTTTCTTGCCTACTTCTGATATTAACATTCTTCAAATAAGTATTTTTATTTTCAAAGTGAAGTATATAAACACTGACATACCAGAAAGCTTTAATAATTTTTTCATCTGTAATCTCAGGTTAATATTTATTAAACTAGACAAATCAATAACTTTTACCTACCAATGTATTGTACATCAAGAGGACAGTGATAACTGAGATACTGTGGAACATGAACTTTTTAACTGACTCAGTGTCCTTGTCCCAGTACAAAAGGAATTTAAAAGTGGGTTAAAGACAAATTTGGCACTGTATAAATCATCACTGTGCTGTGTGGCTGCTGTGTCTCTGCAGAGCACTGATTTATTTGATGTTCTGTTCATTTCTCCTCAGTAGTGCTGATTGTGTGGAAGATATGTATCTTTATTGACATTTCACTTTGCATTGCATCACATTGTATTTTTAACTTAAATATTCTTCCCTGTAGGTGAGGTACTGAGGTAGCATGAAAAGCCCTTTCTGGGTATCCACCCCATCCGAACATGGAAACTCTTTATATCTAAATGTGCAATAAACCTTAACTTAAACTTTTTATTTGTTGTGCTTTTATTTCATTAAGTTTTCTTTCCTGCTGTGGTCCCACTCAGTTCAGCCCAGGGGCCCTGGTTAGGTGAGGTTCAGTGTCCTCTGCAGCCATGACGCCTTCACAGACCACACCCAACATTCAGCCCAAATGTTTCGGGCTCCTCCTCCTCCTCACTGCCCCTCAATTTCCACACTCCAGAGGAGGAGAAAAAAACTCCACTGTTATCCTGAGTCCGTGAACTAACTTCTGCCATACTAAAGTAAGTTGTGTTAACTTGTAGCGGTTAACTTACCTTACCAATGCATGCACTTTAGTGATACCCATCTGTTACCTGATAGTTTAACCTAACTTATCTAAGGATATCCAGGCTCATCCTCATGTTTTGACTCTGTTGTTCGGACTGCTGCTGGCTAACTTGCTAACTTTAGCTTAGCTGAAGTTATCTGAGAAACAGGCGACCAAGAGCAGCGTGTGAGATTAAGGGAAGCTTTTTGTTAAAGAGGATCTAGGAAAAAGCTTGATTGTGATGGATAACGGTTCTTAACATGTTTGCTTTTCACACAGTGGTGACAGAGGCTCGGTGAGCTAACTTCATCCTGCCAACATGGCCAAAATAAGTTTACTGTGTCAGGACCGTGGTGTTTAAAGTGCTATATAACGTTATAACGGTTGCATTCAACTTTTTACGTGAACATAAGTAGTTTAAGTTAACCAGCTTTCCCGAAGAACAAGGATTTCAGTAACTTTGGGAGTTAGATAAACGGTATGTTGTCTCACGTTACTGTGTAGTAACGGTAACGTTATGGTTCAATCAAGGAACGAGTCACAGCTCATCCTACTACTATTCTTAATCATAATGTTATCTGTTGTTGATATCCTACGTCCATTTTTATTGACCTCAGTAAACCCTAACTTTGATGTTTTGTATGTGTACCAAAGTTAGTTGGAGTCTGTGTTTAAAATCAGTATACCATGTTCAAGACCTTCCCAATCAGATCCTAGTTTGGATGCAGTGTCACAGAAGGAAATGGGCCCAAAACACACAACTAAAATGCATGTCTCATATCTATGTCATTTTTTCACTTGTTTTATATAGAGCGGCTTCAGAATGGGTTAGGTTTGCATTAACAGTATTAATATGATAAATACTCACTTATATTTTACACACTCACACAGGCAACTTGCCTTAGAGCAAAATTATAACAGAATGAATGAATTAGGGATGTACCATGTTGTACTTTTTGCTGATATCTGAAATGCTGATATATATAACAACTTATTTGGCCGATAATCAATACCGGTGTTGATATATCCACTTTTCCCCCATCTAATTTAAGTGATCATTAAGTCTCTTCTCTTGTGGAATTAACTTCATATTATGCATGCATACTCCTATTGTGATGGCCCACAAGCAGATGGAGACATGAAATACAGTACTTTTCAGTGTATGTAATTTATGTTCATTGTGCAAAATAAGCAAAAGCATGTTGGCCGATTCTGATAGTTCATTTTAAAGCCGATATTAGCCATTACCAATGACGTGCCAATATTATTGTGCATCCCTAGAATGAATATATTATTTTTGTGTATGGAAATTTACCTGATCCATCACCAATGGGATTACTCAGACACATTAACAAATATCAAACAAAACATTCTGGTATGTTAATCCACCATCATCCAGCAGCACAATACATAAATATCATCCACACATAAACACAAACGTTACTGGGGAAAAAAGACATAAACCTCCCACAACCAATGCTTCGAGAGATACCTCACAAAAAACTAATAACAATAGAAAACACAAATGTAGCACCATGAGTACAAGACACAGCTCATAGAGCCAAACAAGACAAAATCTAGTTCATGAATCAGTGCTAAATACTATGTGATCCAGCTCACAGTAGTCTGCAGTCCAAACAAAACAGACTTCAAGGGATCTGTCATCCCACACCCGAAAAAGATACCGGTACTCAGAGAATGCAAGAACCTTCTTTAAAAGGTATTCAACTAAAGCTCCATCCTGTATAACTATTAAATGTAAATGAGGAATTTGAACTTTTTGGAGCAGTTTTTGTGGTAATTTGATATAGAAAGGGCAGTAGAGAATGACACGCATTTCATGCTCCACCTCATTTAGCTCACAGTATTCACTTATGTATTATATTTAGTGGTAATATACCACATTTTAGCTTTTTTTGTGATTATTTGTGTTTACAAGTGCTTACAATTTACAGCCTTAGTCTCAATAACTTGCTAGATATGTGCTGCTTGCTCTCTTGACAAAAATTGATGTCTACGTGTACAAGAAATTAGTTTGAGTTGCTAGGTCAGTTCATGGCATTATCATGTAATCAATCACACTCTCACTTAAAGCCATATTGCATCCTTCAGCCGAACAGCATGAGATGTTGAAAAAAC